CTCCATTATTTACTTTGTAAGGACGATAGTCTGGAAATATGCTTACTATATATGTGTATCTATCTGCCTAGCTTGGTTGGATTATATAGTAATGGAGGAGAGGAAGTAGTAGAAATATAAAGAGGGATGGAGAAAACAGAAGAGGGTTTGATGTGTGTTGCTTTCTTGCTCCATTAACCGTCCATCTCTTCATGTATGGGAAAAAGGGAGGGTGTGTGTGTGTGTGTGTGATGGTGTTAAAAGGGTATTTGGAGAGTGACCTATGAATGGAGGTTTTTGAATGGGACTCAATTATGCTAGAAGTTGCACTCAAAAGCTTTATTTTCATGTAAAGAAAAGAAAAAGGAGAGAGGTCATGGTCTTTATGAGGAGAAAAAACAAAATGAGAGGACCCCTCATGTTTTTGCTTCTTGGATTTTTGAATTGCCCTTTTATCTAGATTTGTTTTCTGACCTCCCCAAGAGTACTACTTCTGTTCAAAGTTTTTCATCTCTCTCTCTCTCTCTCTCTCTCTCTCTCTCTCTCTCTCTCTCTCTCTCTCTCTCTCTCTCTCTCTCTCTCTCCTCCTGCATTATTTGAACATATAGTTACTAGCAGGGTAGTGACGTAACTGAAGGAGACTCCCATGTGATGTTCTGTGAAGTGTTCATGACAATGTCCTATTTTTGAGTTCATTTATGGAAAGTGGGGAGCATCCCCTTTGATTCACTGTGCTACCATTTTACATCAATATGGTGCCAATGCCACAAAATGTAGGGCGTCTAAGAGATGTTTTACGCATGCACATATATACATATATATATATATATGTAACAATGCATGACCGCCATAAATTACAGAGAAATTAGTTGTATTTACCAAAAAAAAAAAATTTACTTGTTCATGATGTAAGGAAGAGTGTTAGCCATATTGAGATACATTATGCTTGTAAGGGAGTTGTTTTTAGAGTCCATCGTGACTAGAGGTTACGTTTTGGGGAGAGGTGTACAACATACATAATTAATCACATATAATTGATACAAGTGTGAATGAGGTTCCCGTTTGAAGAAAGAAAAGTAAACAGGAACATATCTTTACAATATTTCACCTGTTGGAGTAGTTAGAACTCAGGCATGGATGGAAATAAGGACCCATGTGGTCCTACGATCACCTAGAGTCTGAAAAATATAATCACCCACGTGGTGCAATTTGGAGGGGCGAAAACACTCTAAAAGCAAGTTTTTCACTTGAAATATTCCGCTGTACAAACAAATCCAACATCGCAAAACACGTCAAGCTATAATAACACAACAAATCACTAAACCCTCACTTTATATCTTCAAATCATTGAATGATGTAGGAGCTTTTGTCCTTACGCAGCTCCATCACGATCGTTCCTACTTTACGAGTTCCAATTTGAACTTGGAAAAATAATTTAATATTCACCATAGTCGATTTTGACATAGTTTTATTCAGGCATCTGGTGTGCAACGGCCCCAAATATTATATAGTAGGAAAATGCCTTGAAGATCATGTTTTTAGATAATATTTTGCAAACTGGCAGTTAATGGTTGAATTCTTTCTCATTGATGATTTAAAGAATGAACCGAACCACCAAACTATTATATCATATATATAGTTTACAAAATATGGTTCAAGTAGATGATCTCTTCCTAAAGTATTATTCAAGATGCCAAGTGTTATGCAAAAAGGTCCTGATACCAGAGTTCAGAAGAATTGAAGTAATGCAGAAAAAAAACCAAACAAAGTAGGAGCAATTTTTATTTGTATAAAGATAACACGACTCATAGTGTGCCATCAACACATTATAATAAGAGTTGTTGACATAATTAATATGTCTCACTTTAACAGATATATTAACAAAAATTATAAACGTCAGGCGGATGTATACATCAAAAAATTGCTCAATAAGAAATGGAGAATCCTCGTATGTTTGCATTTGTTTTTTGTTAGGTTTTATTAGCGTGCCACACATGATATAAACTATCAACTTTGCTGTATTTTCCTATACTTTGTTGCAAAAAAATTCAAATTTGAATCCATGAAAAGTCCATGAAACATACTAAAATGTGTCCTAATTAATCACATTTTATTCTTGTTTCATCATCTTTAGGTGCAGTGAATTGTAATCACATCGGCAAAGAGAATCTACTCACTCAGCAAAAATAGGGCAAAGTATACGCATAGAGAATCGAAACCTATATAATCCTAGATTAATTGTAAATACATTGAAATACAAAGGTGGCGCCTCACAAAATCTATGTCTTAAACTCTCTACAAAATCCTATGAACAAATCAACACATTTAAACTCTATAAAAAACCTAACTCAAAATCTTTTCCCACTCATTCGAATTCTGATGGTTGTAGTGAGATCATGGCTACTTCCTCACCCTCACCGCCGCCGCCTCCAATGCCGCCCCACGTAGTGCTATTCCCCTTCATGGCTCAAGTCCACACCATTCCACTACTAGACATATCAAAGGAACTATCAAACGGTGGCGTAAAAGTCACCATCGTCACCATCAAATAAACGCACCGTTTATCCGCTCCAAACTCTCAAACCAGGCGTCCATCGTCGTCTCCGTCATTCCGTTTCCACACGTCCTGGACCTTCCGGAGGGCTGTGAGAAGACCGCCGACCTTCCTTCAATGGACTTGTGGGTTCCCTTCGCCACCGGCAAAGAGAAAATGAAACCACGATTTGAAGCCCTTCTCCATGAGATGGTTGACGGTGGGTCCCGCCAACTTTGTGTAATCTCAGACTTTTTCCGCAGTTGGACGTTGGACACGTGTCTATCATTTTACATTCCACCTGTCGTGTGGAATGCATGGGTTGCTCACGTGTCTTCCAAATGACATTCCACGTGTCGTGTGCATCAAATGGGTTGACCACGTGTCTGACATTTGGCCATAAGCAGGACGGATCTGGTGTGGTGACCTACATGTTATTTGGTACACAAATGCCATTGTTGGATGATCAGATGGACGAGATCGCTTACGGGTTGGAGATGGCAGGGTGTCGGTTTATATGGGGCGTTCGATCAAAGACGTGGACACCGGATGAAGAGTGGGAAAATGACACGTGTCTGTAATTTTCTCGTTCATCGTCTTCGATCTGTGCTTTAACTTCCAAAATCCTCAGCCATCAATTCCATTCTCCCTTCCCCATTTTTCCCACCCTCCACCTCCATGGATTTCCTCAAAACCTTATGATTTCGGATATGTTGCCACTTTCCATGAACGCGTTTTGACGTGGGAAGTATGTAGAGCTTTGGTGCGGGTGTTCACACCACCACCTCTCGTGGATTTGCTTCGACGGCTTTGTTGCTTTCGATGGCTTTGTTGCTCGATGGCTTTCTTGGTTCTCGCACCAACTTTCTTTAGTTTGTAGTTACTGTTCTCACGGCTTTATTTCTAAAAAATATATTCGCTTTGGTGAATCCAATTGAACAATAGAATATCAATTCTCTGCTAATATAAAATAGTAGTTAACCATGCATACATTTATTTACAATTTTTCTCCATCTTTTTCTTATCTTTTCCACATGCATATATATTATCTAGTTAATAATCAAGTAAATATTATGCAGGTGTACAATTTGTGGTCGAAGCAAAATTCCAGTTCGACCCTTCGTGCAATGTCACTAAGGATTGCAAAGTTGGGTTATCACAACAAGTGCATCAAGGAGACTTGCCACTGTTCAACATAATTTAAGACCAAGTCAATTTCTGAAGAAGGAAACCCTTAACTGAGAGTTCACTGATGTTCTTGGAATAATTGTGCTACTAAAGCACAAGGGTTGTAATTTGATAAACATATGAATAAATTGACATCTTTTCTTATCCTAGCAAACGTATAAATAATAAATTAATCATTCAACTTGTGACGTTTGAGTGCAATAGTTGGTGACAACCGTACAACATTTAGCAAATTTCATTTTAAATAGATGATCGATATTTCTCGATCAGTAGCACAATATGAAACCTATAGGCAATACGTTCAGGTCAACAGGTTAACCTCACTCACACAAGTAGATTAACACATAATGTTTCAATGGTTGCTCATTGCATCAATTTGGAAAGAGTCTGTTGCTATACCCATGGAAGCACTTGATAACACACTTTCAAAGAATGTTGGTTTTGGCGGAATGAGTTTGCATCTAACATACATTTTTGTGAGAAATATTACAATGTTGAGAAAATGTTGAGCAGGAGGATAAGGAAGATTACACAAACCATTGAAAAGGGCAACCACAAACAGCCTAGTCAATTGACCTTGCTCACCAAGGTGAATTTACTTGCTCCTTCTGTCCATTCTATCTTTTACAAAAGAAGCTTGGTAGTGGTACCAAGCCCAAGTCTCCTCCTTTACTCCCAGTGCTTGCGGGGTGAGGAAATTGATTGGATAGCTGCACTCCATGGTACCATTAATGAATGGATTGGTATTATTCTTCTGGCTTGGGCTATGGAATCATTGGCTACCTTGCCACTTGAGCTTTGGTGAATTGAGCGATTCAATTAAGTCCGGTTTCATTCTGGTTTTCTACACAAACTGGGCAGCAGAAAAAACAGATTGGAACATCAGGGGCAGGTGCTTCAGTCCTGCTCAGGTACTTACCCTTAAGGCTTGAATACAAGCCTATTTTCGGGGCGGGATGGAGTTGTTAGGTTCCTCATTCTATTGGGCCTATTCCATTTAGTATAGTTATCCCATTCACATATTTCGGGTTGTAGATTGCTCAGGCTCTATGTATTTAGTCTCTTTTACTCTTTTGGAGGATTATGAATGAAAATATAAATGTTTTAGTTCATCTCCTTTCCCCTTTTCTCTCTACTTCTCCCTCTTTTCTTCCTTTACGATTATTGATCCCATAACATTCGCATTGGAGTGTTTACTGCAATCAACACTCCAATCCGATTTTTCAATCGATATATTCATCATCTTTTCTTTTCCTCCTCAAATTACTTTCTTGATGAAAATGAAGATTCGGTCCGCGACTGTGAAGTGTACATCGATGGCAAGATCTATTAACGCTATTGAATTACAGAAATCTTAAATAAGAAGAAACTAAAGGAATCGAAGAAGAGGAGAGAGAGCTTTCAATCATATATTCTGAGTAAAAGGAAATATTACATCTTCAGTCTCTAAGTCGTAACAGTTCATGTAGATTCATAAACGTACAATCTCGGGTTGGCCATCTCAAGCGCTGTCGTGCTAAATCGTATTCGATTATCTTATCTTTGAGAATAATATCTGCAATGGAAGAAGAAAAAACATCATACTATTGATGTCACAAACAGCAAGTGTGTTTTCCCTTAAAACTTAACAACCAGGTAGTAATTCGGATCTAACCTCCAAAGATTGTGACCGGTCCCTGAGATTTCTGAAATGCAATCTCCCAAGTAGTAACACCATTCTGAAACGATACAAAGTTCATCACATTAACTTCAAACAACCTCCAATTTCATTTAATATAATTATGTATATTGCAACTACTTTGAAAAAGAATTTTTACAGCAGGAGCTGGGAGATAAAACTTACAAAAAAGCTGGTGTTCAGAAGATACTCTTGCGGTTTCAGCAACATGGACACACCACCGGGAAAAGTTAAACTGACTGGAGGAAATGCGTTGGCCATGCTGAAAAACAATCGACATAACTGTTATTCTGATTTTTTATTTAAGACGGATAGAAAGAGAGGGAGAGAGGGGGAGAGGCAAACCTGATGAAACTGGGGACTTCATAGATTTGTCTCCCTGCTCCAATACCGGTAGTTACAGATTTTGGAATGGCGATATTTACCTACACATAACAAAACAAAATTTCAGTAGTTCAAGAAGTGGTAAGGACACACAGAGACTTGGTAAAAAAATTTACTACTTTTCTGCCATTGCTAAACCATAAAAAACCCATCAAAGCAAAGTTAATTAGTAAACTTACAGCGGTAATGAAAGCAGTGAGGGCTACTTCAGGAAGGTAAGCCAGTGTTGTACCGGAATCAACAAGTACGTCTCGAAATGTTTTTCGATCAACAGGTAACACTTTCCCATCGACCGAAATACTCTCGAGCTCTACATTATAGTGCCTAAAAATCCAGTAAGAAGTCAATTGAGTTAGTCAAAGAAAAAAAAATAGTTAAGTAAAAGAAAATCACATAAGTAAGTTAGCTAAAGACTTACCTTGATCCGATAAGAGGAGTGTAGATTATTCTCGGCTCTATTACCTCGCCGAGAGCAAGCACACCCCCTGCACCTCTGTCTCCCCTCAGACAATGAGAGAAAACTTTCGGAGTTGACGCTCGAGAGGATAACTGAGAAATAACGGATAGTTGTCCAGGGCCGAACCCAACTATTCCACTAAATGCAAGGTTGTTGGTTGTTAATAGACCCGACATATTCTCAGTACACCTATTATTTCAATTAAAAAACAATTGTGATTAATGTAAGTCTCTTATTATGTTTTCCTACTCAATAAAAGTTGGTGAAAAACAATAAAGTTAAAAGCTTACCCAAAAACAATGAACTCCGAAGAGTTAAATTGGGAGGTTAACATGTCAAAGTGGATGACGTCGGAAACATAATAACCGTCAACCTCATCTCCATCTCCATATTTGACATGATAATTGCACTGGTTAGTCTTAGAGCACGTGGCTCCTAAGCCATTGCACTTATGGCGCGAGCAACTCACCAATTTCGCAGTCTGTGAGCTAGTAATATCATAAAAATTTATTGGGATCTGAGGCACGTAAAATGCCATGGATTAGATTGGTGCTAAGTAAATTGTTGTACATGAAAATATAGGTAAATTAACCATATTATAAGTGTACTAGGTACCTACAAACTAATATTGGGAAAAGAAAAAAAAAAGGTAAATAAATTGCCTATACAATGATTACAGCCTCAGTGAATATGCAATATTTAGGTAAATTAATGTAGGTGAATTACTCAAAAAATGTACATCTACGTAAATCATTATAAGCTCAAAATGCCAAACAAAATTAATAGGTAAATTAGTGAATATGCAATTTAAGCAAATTAATGAATACACACACACACACACACACACAATATAAGTAAATTAGTGTACATCTAGGTAAATTACGATAAGCTCAAAATGCATAGATTAATGTATATATGTAGCCTTGCAGGTATAATTGTTGAACAAGTAATACAAACATTTAAAAAAACGTAAAGAAGCCAACTATCTTTTATTGGCTAGATTGTGTGGGTTATTTAATGGCATAATAACAAATTTAATAATAGGTGTTTGTGGTATAGATTGTAAATAAATTGTAACAATAGGTCACTTATATGTCTATGGCAACCTATTTAAAATTTGGGTTTTATTTTGACGTTTATTAATACGGGGGTTTTTGTGTAAAAAAAAATATGAGTTAGTCTATCTTAAAAGAGCTCTTCAATTGCGACTTACTCTAAGCCCACTAGACCGGGGGCAATCGGCACAGGAGCTGCATGCAACCCAACTAAGATCGCTGCCGGTGTCGAACAACACCTCAAACTCTCGAGGAGGAGAGCCCAACTCCAATTTAGTAAAATACATCCTACATAATAAGAAACAAGTTTACATCAAAAGTTGTAGATGGGCAGTACGTATAAAAATATAAGTTAAAGCAATGTACATACCCGATGTTTTCGAACACAACATCATAGGACATCGTTATGTTGACCCAGCCGCCGATAAAATGTTCGAATATTCTCACGTGTCTTACGTGATCCCGTAGTCGAACCTGGTGTAAGTCGACCGGATAAATGGGGGAGACTGCAGGCCGCAGTGTTAGAACCACGGCTTGGACAGTGCAGAGCCCGACCAACAAGAAGGTCATGAACGTCAAAAGTGAAGCCATGTGGTATAATCTGGAGGCGTCGGAAAGAGAGTGAGAGGGAAGGGTGATTGACTGAAGGTGAGTGGTGATTAATGTGGAGCTTCGGCTTCCAATTTAGAGAGAGGTGACTGTGCTTCTGCTTTCTTCACAGAGAGAGAGAGAGAAAGGGCAGGTTGATTGAGAAGGTTAGTGGTGATTAATGGGGAGCTTCTGCTCCAATTTATAGAGAGAGGCGGTGACTGTATGCTTCTGCTTCTTTCAGAGAGAGAGAGAGAGAGAGAGGTTGAAGCGAGTCAGATAGAAATCGGTGGAGCTACTATTTTTGGTGGCATGTAAAGACTTTCAAGGCAATAGCAAGTCTTACTATAAAAACCCCGCAAAATTTTAAAATAAATATACGTTAAAGATTCCACTGGCTCTTTCCTTGTACGAGTTTCTTTCTGCACATGGACCTAATTGAAAACCCAAGGTGAGCAGATACTCACAAACCTCGGCTCCGTTTTTCTTATATGTCCTCTTCCTTCCTTTCTTGAATTAGATAAAGTCTCTTTGAGCCCAAATATGCTTTCTTTCTCTATTTGTTCTTGCACAAAATAAAGAAAACATGGTGAGTGGTAGATTTAGGCTACGCTGTCTAATGGGACAATTAGGTATCAAACCTAGTTGATCGTTTTTGTTATTTACGTGAGTCGAATTTGAGTGTTCACGTTCGTTGCTACATTTAATATTACCTATACTAACGAGTGTGAGAGTGACCTAAATCTCATGATGGACAAGTCATAATAATTTGGTTCAAATTCGTTTTTGGCGATAACAAATAAAAGACCTTTCACTTAAAAGTGAAAATGAATATCATTATACTGTAATAACACATGACTAAGTTTTTGCACTCTTAAATCCAAAAGAAAAATGAATAACACATGAATATCATTATGGCTGAGTCATTCATCACGATACCACATGCATGACCTATTGCTTTTACAGCCTTCACAAGCTTATGGAGGGCTCTTTCACTCATTCATCACAATGCAGACTACTTTTTTTTTTTTTTTTTTTTTTTTAATACTTTAACGGGTTCAGTTTCAGATAAATGAAGTGTACATGGACCTAACTGAAAGCCCAAGGTGAGCAGATACTCACAAAGCTCGGCCCTGTTTTTGATAAATGTCCTCTTCCTTCCTTGCTTGAATTAGATAAAGTTGTTTTGAGCCCAAATATGCTTTCTTTCTCTATTTGTTCTTGCTCAAAATAAAGAAAACATGGTGAGTGGTAGATTTAGGCTACGCTGTCTAATGGGACAGTTAGGTATCAAACTAAGTTGATCGTTTTTGTTATTTACGTGAGTCGAATTTGAGTGTTCACGTTCTTTGCTACATTTAACATTACATATACTAACGAGTGTGAGAGTGAGCTAAATCTCATAATGAACAAGTCATAATAATTTAGTTCAAATTCGTTTTTGGTGATAACAAATGAAAGACCTCTCACTTAAAAGTGAAGATGAATATCATTATACTGTAATAACACATGACTAAGTTTTTGCACTTTTAAATCCAAAAGAAAAATGCTACAACAGAATACCAACACTAAGCCCAAGGTCCAAGGCAAGCGTATGTATGTATTTGGACTTGGTTTCCAAATACAAGTTTATTGGATCATTTCCCCTACAGTCAGCTTGACAAACACCAATCCAAAAACAGTCCCAAAAAGACCCCACGCTGAGTCATTCATCACGATACCACATGCATGGCCTATTGCTTTTACAGCCTTTACAAGTTTATGGAGGGCTCTTCCACTCATTCATCACAATGCGACTACTTTCTTTTCCTTTTTTCTGGAAACTATGCAGACTACTTTTTCGTTTTTACAGTGGATTTAAATTAGTAAAAAAATTCTCTATTTCCATCAGCCGTTAGATCTCAAGGATTAACTATGGCCGTCCATTCCTAGACCATTTGGTACTCGGATCCTTGCAAGAAAATTGGTTGTTTCTAGCGCTGTAAGGGTAAATCTTTATCGTAATTATTTTATCTTTTTAATTGCATGATGAAAAAAAGAGACAAAGAATGAGATTGAAATTTATACATGACATAATCTCTCTATTGTAAAGATAATACCATAATCCCTTTTGAATGACAAATATTATTAAAAAAATTAAAAATAAAGCAATGAATTTGTATCTTTTGCGATTAAGAGCGTTAATTGGGTAATCAAGACAACAAAAAATAAAATGCTGAATAATATTATAAACTTTCCTACAAATAGAACCAAATTTCTATGAGTCATACATATCATTTACCTAGAGACAGGTGTTATTTCATTTTTTTTTAATTTTATCCGGTGATATTTATTGAATTTTTCTCAAATCTTGGACACAAAACGGTCAGTATGTATGTGGAACAGGGAAATGCCTTGCTTGAGACCATAAGGAATCCAACATTCCCTGCGCTTGGCCATTCAGTAAAATTACAAAAACATCGTCTTCTTTTTTCAAGAAATATGAGAATGTGAGAATGTCGAGGAGGACATGAAAGTAATGGTGGATTTGGTCACCAACCACCATGACCACCATAAGAGGATCTTTGTTACAATTTTGTTTTGAATTTTTTGTTTACATCATGCAGAATATTTATATTATATGTATTTTTATATATGCCAAAAAAAAAATCAGATTATCCGTAAAATTAATTGAAAATATGAAAAGTAATCTATTTATTTGTAAGTACATGTAAGGTCATTTGTTTTCCGATGTGAGACTAATACTCTCAACATGCCCTCTTAAGTGTACCGAACATGTGGACAACACAAAGATGTTATATAGCACGTGTAGCCATTGAGCTTCACGCATGACAGTCTGCTCTGATATTATGAAGAAACTTGATATTCTACCATAAAATCATTTGGCAATACGATCAATATGTATATATTTAAATATATTACTATATGTACGATATTTTTCAAAAAAACTATTATCGACACTTCAAAGATTTAATTGTGCAATCTTTATATTTGTATTTTTTGTAATATAAAAATTTTAAAATTCACAATTATATTTTTTGAAATACTAATAATAATTTTTTTAATCATAATTTTGGTAGCTTTTGTGCTGGAAATGTTGGGAGCTTTTTAAGATTCCACAAAGCACCATCCGCTAACAATCTCACACATGCTCTCCTCTTCTCACCTTCAGCAGACAATTATTCCCGAAGACTTGTTCAAAAGCCGAACTGTGAAAAGCAAAAGCTGCCATCCAAAATAGATGTAAAATTTGGGGTCGAAGCAAAATTCCAGTTCGACCCTTCTTGCAAAGTTGCTAAGGATTGCAACAAGTTGGGTTATCATTGCAAATGCATCAAGGTGACTTGCCACTGTTCAGCAGAATTTAAGACGAAGTCAATTTCTGAAGAAGGAAACCCTTAACTGATAGTTCACTGATGTTCTTCGAATAATTGTGCTACTAAAGCGCAAGGGTTGTAATTCGATAAACATATGAATAAATTGACATATTTTCCTTATCCTAGCAAACATATAAATAATAATTAATCATTCAACTTTTAGTGTTTGAGTGTACTAGTTGGTGACAACAGTACAACATTTAACAAATTTCATTCTAAATAGATGATCAATATTTCTTGATCAGTAGCACAATATGAAACCTAGAGGCAATACGTTCAGGTCAACAGGTTAACCTCACTCACACAAGTAGATTAACACATAATGTTGCTCATTGCATCAATTTGGAAAAAGTCTGTTGCTATACCCATGGAAGCACTTGATAACACACTTTCAAAGCATGTTGGTTTTGGGGGAATGAGTTTGCGTCTAATATACATGGTTGTGAGAAATATTGACAATGTTGAGAAAATGTTGAGCAGGAGGATAAGGAAGATTACACAAACCATTGAAAAGAGCAACCACAAACTGCCCAGTCAATTGACCTTGCTCACCAAGGTGAATTTACTTGCTCCTTCTATCCATTCTATCTTTTACAAAAGAAGCTTGGTAGTGGTACCAAGCCCAAGTCTCCTCCTTTACTCCCAGTGCTTGCGGGGTGAGGAAATTGAGTGGATAGCTACACTCCATGGTACCATTAATGAATGGATTGGTATTATTCTTCTGGCTTGGGCTATGGAATCATTGGCTACCTTGCCACTTGAGCTTTGGTGAATTGAGCGATTCAATTAAGTCCGGTATCATTCTGGTTTTCTACACAAACTGGGCAGCAGAAAAAACAGATTGGAATCATCAGGGGCAGGTGCTTCAGTCCTTCTCAGGTACTTACCCTTAAGGCTTGAATACAAGCCTATTTTCGGGGCGGGATGGAGTTGTTAGGTTCCTCATTCTATTGGGCCTATTCCATTTAGTATAGTTGTCCCATTCACATATTTCGGGTTGTAGATTGCTCAGGCTCTATGTATTTAGTCTCTTTTACTCTTTTGGAGGATTATGAATGAAAATATAAATGTTTTAGTTCATCTCCTTTCCCCTTTTCTCTCTACTTCTCCCTCTTTTCTTCCTTTACGATTATTGATCCCATAACATTCGCATTGGAGTGTTTACTGCAATCAACACTCCAATCCGATTTTTCAATCGATATATTCATCATCTTTTCTTTTCTTCCTCAAATTACTTTCTTGATGAAAATGAAGATTCGGTCCGCGACTGTGAAGTGTACATCGATGGCAAGATCTATTAACGCTATTGAATTACAGAAATCTTAAAGAAGAAGAAACTAAAGGAATCGAAGAAGAGGAGAGAGAGCTTTCAATCATATATTCTGAGTAAAAGGAAATATTACATCTTCAGTCTCTAAGTCTCTAAGACTATACTTATATAGAGACTATGTTGCACAGTTTTACATTTTGACCCTTTACACTTAACTCCAACTACCTCTAACTGTTTTGAAGATAAGTCCCACCTGATTCCAACTAATTCAGTTTATTTTGGTTAATAAGATCGACAGTATATGAGTATTATTAGCAGAAGTGGGCAGAGGCAGACAGACAGATTCAACAACAGAAAGTGGAAGTTTTATAACTTTTGAGGTTTATTTACATAAAATCCAATACAATTGCACCTCCAGTAATCCAACTAGCAAGTTGGTACATCCGTTCCTTAACAAGTTACTGCCTTCATTTTTGCCAAAACTTACGTTCACATCCATCCATAGGCAAGGAACCTGAGAAAGATTAATTTTAAAACATGGTCAGCGTAAAGTCCAGCGTAAATCAGAAAAACAAAAAACAGTTCATGTAGATTCATAAACGTACGATCTCGGGTTGGCCATCCCAAGCGCTGTCGTGCTAAATCGTATTCGATTATCTTATCTTTGAGAATAATATCTGCAATGGAAGAAGCAAAAACATCATACTATATGATTTCACAAACAGCAGGTGTGTTTTCCCTTAAAACTTAACAACCAGGTAGTAATTCGGATCTAACCTCCAAAGATTGTGACCGGTCCCTGAGATTTCTGAAATGCAGTCTCCCAAGTAGTAACACCATTCTGAAACGATACAAAGTTCATCACATTAACTTCAAACAACCTTCAATTTCAATTAATATAATTATGTATATTGCAACTCCTTTGAAAAAGAATTTTTACAGCAGGAGCTGGGAGATAAAACTTACAAAAAAGCTGGTGTTCAGAAGATACTCTTGCGGTTTCAGCAACATGGACACACCACCGGGAAAATTTAAACTGACTGGAGGAAATGCGTTGGCCATGCTGAAAAACAATCGACATAACTGTTACTCTGATTTTTATTTAAGACGGATAGAAAGAGAGGGAGAGAGGGGGAGAGGCAAACCTGATGAAACTGGGGACTTCATAGATTTGTCTCCCTGCTCCAATACCGGTAGTTACAGATTTTAAAATGGCGATATTTACCTACACATAACAAAACAAAATTTCAGTAGTTCAAGAAGTGGTAAGGACACACAGAGACTTGGTAAAAAAAGTTACTACTGGTCTTACGTGATCCCGTAGGCGAACCTGGCGTAAGTCGACCGGATAAATGGGGGAGACTGCAGGCCGCAGCGTTAGAACCACTGCTTGGACAGTGCAGAGCCGGAGCAACAAGAAGGTTATGAACACCAAAAGTGAAGCCATGTGGTATCATCTGGAGGGGTCGGAGGGAGAGGGAGAGGGAAGGGTGATTGCCTAAAGGTGAGTGGGCTTCGGCTTCCAATTTAGAGAGAGGTGACTGTGCTTCTGCTTTCTTTACACAGAGAGAGAGAGAGGGGGGGAGAGAGAGAGAGAGAGAGAGAGAGAGAGGGGAGGGTGATTGAGAAGGTTAGTGGTGATTAATGGGGAGCTTCTGCTCGAATTTATAGAGAGAGGCGGTGACTGTATGCTTCTGCTTCTTTCACAGAGAGAGAGAGAGAGGTTGAAGCGAGTCAGATAGAAATCGGTGGAGCTACTATTTTTGGTGGCATGTAGAGACTTTCAAGGCAGTAGCAAGTCTTACTATAAAAACCCGGCGAAATATTAAAATAAATATATGGCAAAGATTCCACTGACTTTTTCCTTGTACGAATTTCTTTCTGCACATGGACCTAACTGAAAGCCCGAGGTGAGCAGATACTCACAAACCTCGGCTCCGTTTTTCATAAATGTCCTCTTCCTTCCTTGCTTGAATTAGATAAAGTTGTTTGAGCCCAAATATGCTTTCTTTCTCTATTTGTTCTTGCACAAAATAAAGAAAACATGGTGAGTGGTAGATTTAGGCTACGCTGTCTAATGGGACAGGTAGGTATCAAACTTAAAACAGATATAAGTCGATTGTTTTGTTATTTACGTGAGTCGAATTTGAGTGTTCATGTTCTTTGCTACATTTAACTTTACCTGTACTAACGAGTGTGAGAGTGAGCTAAATCTAATAATGGACAAGTCATAATAATTTGATTCAAATTCGATTTTGACGATAACAAAATAAAGATGAATATCACTATAATGTAATAACACATCACTAAGTTTTCGCACTTTTAAATCCAAAAGAAAAATGCTAGAACAGAACACCAACACTAAGCCCAAGGGCCAAGGCAAGCGCATGTATGTATTTGGACTTGGTTTCCAAATACAAGCTTATTGGATCATTTCCCTTACAGTCAGCTTGACAAACACCAATCCAAAGACGGTCCCAAAAAGACCACTAAAAAAATTTGTAAATTCGTAGAGGACCCCATGCTGAGTCATTCATCACGATACCACATGCATGGCCTATATATTGCTTTTACAGCCTTTACAAGTTTATTGAGGGCTCTTCCACTCATTCATCACAATGCAGACTATTTTTTTTCTTTTTGGAAACTATGCACACTACTTTTTCGTTTTTACAATGGATTTAAATTAGTAAAAAAATTCTCTATTTCCATCAGCCATTAGATCTCAAGGATTAACTATGGCCGTCCATTCCTGGACCATTTGGTGCTCGCATCCTTGCAAGAAAATTGGTTGTTTCTAGCACTCTAAGGGTAAATCTTTATCGTAACTATTTTACTTTTTTAATTACGTGATAAAAAAGATAGACAAACAATGAGATTGAAATTGATACATAACATAATCTCTCTATTGTAAAGATAATCTCATAATCCCCATTGAATGACAAATATTATTAAAAAATTAAAAATAAAGCAATGAATTTGTATCTTCTGCGATTAAGAGCGCTAATTGGGTAATCAAGAAAACAAAAGATAAAATGCTGAATAATATTATAAACTTTCCTACAAATAGAACCAAATTTCTATGAGTCATACATATCATTTACCTAGCGACGGGTGTTATTTCATTTTTTTTTTTTAAATTTTATCCGGTGATATTTATTGAATTTTTCTCAAATATTGGACACAAAACGGTCAGTATGTGGAACAGGGAAATGCCTTGCTTGAGAGTCTGAGACCATAAGGAATCCAACATTCCCTGCGCTTGGCCATTCAGTAAAATTACAAAAACATCTTCTTTTTTCAAGAAATATGAGAATGTGAGAATGTCGAGGAGGACATGAAAGTAATGGTGGATTTGGTCACCAACCACCATGACCACCATGATAGGATCTTTGTTACAATTTTGTTTTGAATTTTTTGTTTACATCATGCCGAATATTTATATTATATGTATTTTTATATATGCAAAAAAAAAAATCAGATTTTCCGTAAAATTAATTGAAAATATAGAAAGTAATATATTTATTTGTAAGCACATGTAAAGTCTTTTGTTTTCCGATGTGAGATTAATACTCTCAACATGCTCTCTTAAGTGTACCGAACATGTGGACAACACAAAGATGTTATAGAGCACGTGTAGACGTTGAGCATCACGCATGACAGTCTGCTCTGATATTATGAAGAAAGTTGATATTCTATTATAAAATCATTTGGTAATACGATCAATATGTATATATATTTAAATATATTACTATATGTTGGATATTTTTCATAAAAACTATTATCGACACTTCAAAAATTTAATTGTGCAATCTTTATATAAGTATTTTTTTATATAAAAATTTTAAAATGTACAATTATATTTTTTAAAATACTAATAATAATTTTTTTAATCATAATTTTGGTAGCTTTTGCGCTGGAAATGGTGGGAGCTTTTTAAGATTCCACAAGGCACTATCTGCTAACAATCTCACACATCCTCTCCTCTTCTCACCTTCAGCAGACAGTTATTCCCGAAGACTTTTTCAAAAGCCGAACTGTGAAAAGCAAAAGCTGCCATCCAAAATCGCTTTTCTCCACGACACTTTTTTCTCTCCCTCCCTCTCCCTCTCCCTCTAAATTATTTTGAGACCAAATCATAGTATTTCGTTCTCATGCTTCAAGCTGCAGACAATAATTGTTGTTCTTGTACCCATGGATTATCCAACACCAAAATGAAAATAATTTTCTAGACAAAATTCTGGGAATTATAATCATTATTCTTAGGTCATCAATCTCTCTTTAGAGGAGAACCATGACAACATAAAAAATTAAGAGTTCTCTAACTCTCTCCCTCGTGAGAGTCTTTCTCCTGTGAGAGTTTTTTTTTTCTTTTTTTTTTTTTCCAAGTTTAGTTTCCCCTGCATTTTTTTCGTTCATCGTCTCCGATCTGTGCCTTAACCTCCAAAATCCTCAGCCATCAATTCCATTCTCCCTTCCCCATTTTTCCCACCCTCCACCTCCATGGATTTCCTCAAAACCTTATGATTTCGGATATGTTGCCACTTTCCATGAACGCGTTTTGACGCGGGAAGTATGTAGAGTTTTGGTGCGGGTGTTCACACCACCACCTCTCATGGATTTGCTTCGACGGCCTTGTTGCCTTCGATGGCTTTGTTGCTGATGGGTTCTCTCACCAACTTTCTTTAGTTTTTAGATACTGTTCTCACGGCTTTGTTTCTAAAAAATATATTCGCTTTGGTGAATCCAATTGAACAATAGAATATCAATTCTCTGCTAATATAAAATAGTAGATAACCATGCATACATTTATTTACAATTTTTCTCCATCTTTTTCTTATCTTTTCCACATGCACATATATTTTCTAGTTAATAATCAAGTAAATATTACTGAAAATATGAGTATACCCCTTGGAATTCAATTTTCTTTAACTAAAACCCATAATTGTAAAATTTTCTAATAAAAACCCAATGACTAGGCTCCAACTAAGCAATATCCATAATTAAGTATGACTTGGCAAAATTGGTATTTTTGGATGTCTAAATTACCCCTAATATCATTGACTTTGGTCTATTACTTCTTATCTACATTTATTTTATATTATTTCATTCAATTAAACATTTTGAAATGTTTATGCAGATTTGGAAAAGAAAAATTTTAGTGTCATGATTTCAATGCATATTAATAACAAAAATGATATGATATTAGAGTTTTGATTCCTTATATAGTTGTTTTCACATTTATGTAAAAATGAGCATTATTTTTCCTTTTCAAATAATTGTAACAGGTAAATTAGTATTTTTCACAAATGTACAAATGTTATTTTATTCAAAATTACCAATATTTTACATATATAAAATAACAATATAAGCTCCAAGTAAAATAACAATATAAGTTCCAAGTAAAATAATACATGCAAAATAATTTACCTACAAAATAAATAAATAAATATTGTTTGATTCAAAAGTTAATTAAGTTATTTGCATACACATATATATAATAATATCAAAACATGCCTAACATATGTAATAATACATGCAAAATAATTTACCTATAGAATAAATGAATGTTGATTGATTGCAAGCAACACATAATAATAACAAATGTGCCTAGTATATGTAATAATATCTGCAAAATAATTTACCTACAAAATAAAAGGATGTTTTTAGCCAATTGATTCAAAGTTAATTTATTACCTATATTCTACTTTAAAATAAAGGTAATTTATTTCACACAGATATAATAATAACAAAATGTGCCTAATGTATACATGCAAAATAATTCACCTACAATGATTGTCAAACAAATATAAGAAATGGAATAGATGATGGTAAGACAAGTATAAAGTAGATACTTTTGTAATAATAAAGCACTTATTTGCTATAATTAAGGTGAATAATTAAATTCATCAACATAATTAGGGTGTTGTGGCACAATTGTAAATATTTTGAAAATAATAGGTATTTTATTTGTTTACATGGAAGTTTATTTCAAATTTGGGTTTTATTTGGATGTTTAAAATGAGATGAGTTTTGGTCAACGAAATAAGTGTTGCATGGACTTATATCTATAGAACCCTAAATATTATGCAGGTGTACAATTTGTGGTCGAAGCAAAATTCCAGTTCGACCCTTCATGCAAAGTCGCTAAGGATTGCAACAAGTTGGGTTATCACTGCAAATGCATCGAGGAGACTTGCCACTGTTCAGCAGAATTTAAGACGAAGTGAATTTCTGAGAAGGAAACCCTTAACTGAGAGTTCACTGATGTTCTTCGAATAATTGTGCTACTAAAGTGTAAGGGTTGTAATTCGATAAACATATGTATAAATTGACATCTTTTCCTTATCCTAGAAAACATATAAATAATAATTAATCATTCAACTTGTGACGTTTAAGTGCAATAGTTGGTAACAACAGTATAACATTTAGCAAATTTCACATTCAAAATAGATGATCGATATTTCTCAATTTGTAGCAAAATTATTCAACTTGCGATTCCAACTTGGGTAAAGATTCAAACTTTGAAAACAAATTGCTGAATTTCCGCTTGCGATTCCAAAATTCATTCATCCCCAAAATTGTCAAATTGTATACAGCCGGAGGGCTCTAAAGCTGATTGTGACAAGCATTGAATTTTTTTTTTTAAAAAAAAAAAACACCAAAATTATATCAAACAGGTAATTCAACACCAATTCAACACCCATGTTGAACGAGTTTGCATGAAATTATGTATAATCGTATATAACTTTAGATTACTAAAACATATCAGTATCACATGTTTACCCAATTCACAATCATGTGGGTGCTTTTTAACTTTCTTCGAACAGATTCTGAATAAAGGCTTCCTTAATTATGTAGAGTTTTTTCAAGAGCTTTTACTTTTGCATCGTAGATGTTCATATCGTGTTATCATTTTTCTTTTTAACGCTGCAGATACTCCACGAAGTTCCGAAGCATGAGGCTTGTTTCGAATGGGACGTTAAACTAGGAGCCTCGACATAATTTGTGCTTTTACTTGTATGAGACTTGCTACTGTCAAGTTAGAAAACATGTCACCTAGCAAGTACTATATAGTTTTTTTCCCTCATAATGAAGCAATAATATCATTCATGAAAAACTTTAACCTTATTGTGGTCGGTGGTCCACATTTCAATCAATAGATCTCAACCACAATGCATGACAAAATATGATTTCAACAAAACAGGTGGACTAGTGCGGATACCTGGGCAATTGTCCAATTCCTCTGCGAGCCATTCATCCAGATTATTGTCTTCAAGGTGTCTAGAACTCAAGATTAAGAACATTCACCAAACAAATTCAAAGAACTTATCATTGTTCTAAGAAATTAGAGATGAAGTTCATTTCTGAAAACGTGTCTACGCGCTCGCAAGCGCAGAAGGAAATCCCTAACCAAGAGTCCACTACCCTTCAAATAATTGTGCTAAGCGCAAAAGTCGCAGATGCGAGAAACATATGAATAAATAGATGCCTTTCCCTTGTCCTACCAAACAAATAAATAATAATTAATTATTCAACTTCATCCAATTCGTGCCATGTTCTTTAAAATTTAGGAAATTTTCATTTGGAGTAGATGATGATATTCTTCTACACAAATCAACGGTCTCGCACAACTGTTGACGCAGCTGCAGCATGAGTCCCGCGATCACTTGCTGCTTTTTTTTTTCTTTTTTTCTTTTTTTATTACAAATCAACGGTCCAAATTTGATATGAAATTTGTAATAATATATATCTCGAATTTAAGATATGCATTATAGATATTTTTTTTATTAGAGACAATATTCTTTTTAGAACACAAGATTCTCTTTTAGGTTTTAAAGTATCTCCAATATGAGTTCTCAAAGCCGTCTTTACCACCATATGTTCCTATATATAAGGACTGTAGGACTTCTAATGGGGTGGAGTAGCTGTCCCAATAGTATAGTGTCTCGCTGGAGTACACACAAAAATCGCCACAGATAGGGACTCATCGTAGGGACTCTTAAATGGGGGCTGAAATTGATTTTGTGTGGGACAAAAGCCTCACCCACGTGAAGGCTTTCCTCTCTTTTTTCTTTTTTGAAAAAAAAAAAACGGATGGGAATCCAATGGTCTACATAGCTTCTTTGTTCTTTGTGCTTTTATTTTTTTATTTTTTTTTATTTTTTATTGGTTGTTCTCATTGATGTGTGTTGCTTTCTTGCTCCATTAACCGTCCATCTCTTCATGCATGGGAAAAAGGGAAGGTGTGTGTGTGCGATGGTGTTAAAAGGGTATTTGGAGAGTGGCCTATTTTTATGAATGGAGGTTTTTGAGCGGGATCCATTTATGCTAGAAGTTGCACTCAAGAGCTTTATTTTCATGTAAAGAAAAGAAAAAGGAGAGGAAGGTCATGGTCTTTATGAAGAGAAAAAACAAAATGAGAGGACCCTCATGTTTTTGCTTCTTGCATTTTTGAATTGCCCTTTTATCTAGATTTGTTTTCTGACCTCCCCAAGAGTACTACTTCTGTTCAAAGTTTTTCATCTCTCTCTCTCTCTCTCTCTCTCTCTCTATCTCCCTCTCCCCTGCAGTATTTGAACATATAGTTACTAACAGGGTAGTGACGTAATTGAAGGAGACTCCCATGTGATGTTCTGTGAAGTGTTCATGACAATGTCCTATTTTTGAGTTCATTTATGGAAAGTGTGGAGCATCCCCTTTGATTCATTGTGCTACCATTTTACATCAAAATGGTGTCAATGCCACAAAATGTAGGTCGTCTAAGAGATGTTTTTATGCATATATATATATATATATATATGTAACAATGCATGACCTGAAGGAAAATTTGTGAAAAACATGTTCATTTAAGCAACATCAATAGCATGCAATTAACAATTAAAGGCGGAATCATGCTTGTATGCACTTAAAACAAAACATTTACCCATGAAATTCAAAGCCTAGTAGATAGGTGAATCAAGACTCAACTCAAAACAAAATGAGTTGAGAAATCAATACCTTTGTAGATTCCTCTTTGCATAAGCAAAGACTAATCACCCAAAGAGAGGGCCTTCATTCCTTGCATCTTGGATCCATGGATTTGGATGGATGAAAAGGTTTCTCCAAGTTCCCAAAATTGAGAACCTCTAAGTCTCCACACCAAGGTATATTGAAGAAGAAATGAGTGACCTAGAGGAAGTAAGATTGCTAGCTATTCCCCTCTAGATTGGCCGAAATTTTAGAGAGAAAGGAGAGCTTGTGTTCTCATCCTTTCCCCCAAAAATAACCCTTAGTAAATTTTAGGCTATAAAGTCCTTTATATAGTCCCTTCAAATAAGTGACCTAATGGACCAAAAGCCCTATTCTTTTACACATGGCTAGCCTATAGGTTTATTGGGCTTTCAAGCCCTTTGTTTTATTCAAGTTGTCATACAACTTGAGTTAATGGGCTTGACATTCAAATCTCATTGGGCCTTGCGGCCCAATACTAACCCGAGGTCTTTAACGAACTTATTCGTTTGATTAATTAACATATTAATTAATCCTAGCCTTAGATAAATAATTAAACCATTTAATTATTCTTACTCATCTCCGTTGAATCTTCAATCTCTACCTTACACGGTGTACGATCCATTAGGTTCCTTTTAGCGAGGCAGTGGGCGATTCAAACTCTTTCAAATCGATTGTGAATTGAAACTTACTTTCAATTCTCCCGTTAGTGATAATACACTTTTAGGGCTTCCACAAACCATGAGTGACACCTAGCAGCATATCATGGTTACCCAAGCTAATCAGAAGAGGTGGAGAACCTATTCAGTTTAGGATTACAAATGCAATACGGTCTTTCTCTAATACAATACTCTTGACCACATTGTTTGGTTTGATAGTTTATTCATGTCTACTATCCAATGTGAATCTTGTACTTATATGATTACCTTGAATGTGATCTGGAACGCATTCCAACATCTCATTCATACTCTGGCCAGAGATTCTAAATCATATCATAGAGTATTCTCCCTCAAACAGTTTGAAGGTTAGAGATCCCTTGTTGCGCATTCACTTGCCTCCATGGCTAAGTGGCTTAACCCCAACGATGCCGTGGACACCCTGATAGAGTGACGTTGACATAATCAAAGATTAAGGACCTAACCACAAGGCAACTGTGATGCCTCAGGTCAAAAGACTAATTTGCATTATCCCAACCATGAGTTCTCATGTGACATGAATATGAGAACTCTTCGTTGATCGTGTTCAGTGAACTCATTCTCTATTGAGCACCTACGTACTTGTCTTGATGTCACACACACCAATGACTCGAGACTAGTCACTCTCCCTGAGAGAAGACATAGCACGTACTGATCTTAACGGACTGTCAATGCCCAATTGACAATCCTATGATCAGGAACGTTTAGGATGTGTCAACGAAAGAATGGTCTCATGAATCTAACTTCTTTAGATCGCATTCTTCCAATCACATATTCCTTGGACTTATCGTTTAAGCATATAACATTTATATTAGACGGCTCAAACAATAATCTTTGCGCTTTACATTTAAACTACATTAGTTTGAAATGAACTACATTAGTTTGAAATGTCCGTAAAGTATCATCATATGATTGGTTTTAGGGCACATTTCCAACAATCTCCCACTTGCACTAGAGCCAATCAGCTTAGTCATCATTGATGATACCTCTTCTGTAATTCATTTCATAAATGGCTGAGTAGTAGGCCTAAACAATGGATATCTATATGTTATCCATAGAAGCAACCTTGAGAATAACGACGTCACCATTATATATGATTCTCAATCATGTGGTTCAGTCTCTCATTTGAGTTCGGACCTTGATGAGACCTTGATTCCCTGGCTTGAGCTATCGCCGCATTAGTGTCATACACTTTCTGGTTGGAACCGAATGAAGAGTTCATGAATGAACTTTCCCATCCAAACAACAATGTTGTAAGCTTCTATATGGCAATATATTTTGCATACATGATGGAACACATTAAAGTCATTTACTTTTAACGTTTCCACCCAAATATCTCTTTAGTCATAATAAAGAGATATCTCTTTATCACTTCATTCATAATGAAGAGATATTCTATGATGGATTAGATTCATAATCTAATACATTTACGCTTCCATTACGTTACTCTAATTCTTCCTCATTCTTGAGGAATCCATCCTTAGTATTTCTTAAATACCTAAGGATTCACTTGACAGTTGCCATGGTTCTGATCCTGGGCTTGCACTGATATCATCTTGTACCGTTCTAGGTACGACTTATATCAATGTTTTCATACAATATGAAATACATAAATCACCTTTCTGCGTATGCATAAAGGATTCTATTTACGCATTATTTCTTTGGGAGTCAAAGGGTACATTCCCTTTGAGAAGAACAACTTCCTAGTCTCACTAGAATTGTCATTCTAATTGAAGTTTATCATCATATGAGAAACTTCGTAGCATCTCTTGTCTATTTTAGGGATTGATATAATCCAATTATATCTTGAAATCTATCATTATAGATTTCCATCCTATGTATATAGACTATGTCTCCCATATACATTCTATCATTATAGAATGTTTAAAGTCATAACTTTAACGATGAAGAATTCCTTTCATTTTCAAAATTAATATATATCATGTATATATAT